AAGCTCAGTGGTTCACACCTGTAACCCTAACAGTTTGAGAGGCTGAGGCAGGCAACTTGTTTGAGCCCAGGAGTTCAAGACCAGCCTAGGTAATGGTGAGACCCCTCTCTCTACAAAACATACAAAAAAATTAGCCAGGCATGGTGGCCTGTGTCTGTATTCCCAGCTACTTGGGTGGCTGAGGTGGGAGGATCACCTGAGCCCCGGAAGTCAAGGCTTCAGTGAGCCATGATCACACCATTGCACTCTAGCCTGGGTAATGGAGTCGGACTCTGTCTCAAAAAAAAATAAACAAACAAAACCCCTGGGAAAACTCCAAGTTCTTTTCAAAATGACTAGAAACTTCAACTTCATCCAGCCATTCAGGGTCAGAAATCGGATTTCTAGGAATGGCCTCCAAACCCAAAGAATTTTTCCAGCAGTCACAACTAATGAGTTACACTCTGGCTATTAAGCCTTGGAAACCTCTGTTGGGATTACAGTCACCCAGACCCCTGTTCTCCAGCCCCCATACCTTCTTTCCTTAAGGAACATCCTCAGAGAGCTTCCCTGCTCTTGCCCTCCTTGTCAGCAGGTGCCACACACATCACCCTCCTGTCTGTCTGCCACCCCTAACACCACCTTCTTTACTTGCGTTGAAATGTCAGTTGGTTGCCTTTTCTCTGTTTACTTCATCTGGGCCAGTGGCTGAACAAATCTGAGAACAATGGCAATCAAGGCATGGTGAGATCTCAGCTTCAACAGATTCATGCCTATAGATTCAGCCCCAACTTGCCCAAGTCCTTGTCACTGAGGGAGCCAGGTAAGGGAATGTGGATGGGCAGGTATCACACATCAACAAATACTTATTTCGCCCCTACTGAGCTGGCACTTGGTTACAAAGACATAGTACATGCACCCACATTTGAAGACAATAATCTCCCCACCCCCCGATGTCCCCTGAGATGACTTTATTCATCCACAATTTCTTATCGGGCACCTACTAGTTTTCAGGCACTGAGTAGGTGCTGGGAATAAATATTACACCAGTAAGTGAATATGGAAGATTGCTTCCTAGTGTGAAGAGTGCCATAAAGGGATTTGAAAGGAACAGTATGGGAGAGGAGAACAGGAAGGGGGTGTTTTGTTTCATGTGTCAGTAGGCAAAATCCTCCCTGAGACTTTAAACAGAAAAAGATCTGAAGGATGAGAAGGAGCTATTTGTATGAAAGGCCAGAGAAAAATGAAAGGGCAGGAAAGAGCTTGGTGTCCTTAAAGCATATTCGTAAATCCAGAGGCCAAGACTGCTGCTGAAGGAAGAAACTGACATGAGCTTGGCTGGAGAGGCAGACACCTGCCATGTCAAAGAAGGTGAGGGATGGAGAGTAGTGGCTAATAGCGTGGCCTCCAGAATCAGACTAGCTCAGCCAGAGGCTGGCTCTACAACTTCTCTAGCTGTGCAGCTGTAGGCAAGTCGCTTACCTTCTCTGAGCCTCAGTTTCCTCATCTTTAAGTTAGGATCATTCTGTGGCTCCCTCACTGGGTGGTGAAACGCATTAGTGTAAAGCACTCTGAACGGTGCACCTGGCACACAGTGTGTGCTATGTCATGGTTTGCTGTGACCTCTTCCAAGCTCAGTGAGAAGTTGTGGAGGATTTGAAGCAGGGAAGAGACACAACCTGGTTTGTCTTTAACAGATGATTAGCCGTTCTGCGGACTACTGGTCATCAATAAGACAAACAGTTGGAAGAGACCCTAGAGGTCACTTACACCAACTACTTTCCCAGTGGTTCTCTCTGGGAAGGGGAGGGGATAGTGCTTGGAGAGACATCACTGAAAGGCAGGAGAGTGGCTGTTCCTCAAGTATGTTGGACAGAAGAGGAGGTTGAGAGGCGGCCGGCCACAGCTTCTGGAGAAGGGCCTCCAACCTCTGGCCAGTGGAGAGTCCACTATTCCCATTTCCAGATCGTCCCAGTCCCACATCCTGCTGTGCAGCCTGTTCCTGTTAGGCAGTGTCAATGTCACTTTTCCTGGACCATAAGTGCCTCAAGCACAGCAGCCATTTCCTCTCCACTCTCCCTGTACAGTGACTGACATGGGCCCCACGCAACTGTGTCCTCTGAGCTTTTGAGTTACCAATTGGAAAAACGAAGATGGAGCCACAGCATTTTAGCATCACTCCTGGAACGACATGGTCTATAAGGGATCTAGAGGGCCTTTAGGAGAGCCTTTAAGTCATGCCCCTGCCCCAGGGCCAGCCTTCCTCAAATCACTCTAGCAAGACTCTGCCCCTTGGTTCTCTAGAGAACATTCTGCACGCTGCAGAAGTGCACCCTGGAGGTCACAGCCTATGCAGGGAAATCCTTCCAAACCGCTTCCCCAGACCCCTTCTGCTGCTCTTTACAATGGGAACACGCCTGTTTCCTGCACGAAGGGTCTCTGGCTGTGAGCAAATGCATGGGATAAAAGCTCTCTTGTCTCCAGGGATATCTGCAGACACATATTGGGGGAGGCCATAGCAACCCCCTCTGACCTGCTGGAGCTCAGAGCTGCTGGGGGGTGTGGGGAGGACACTTCAGGCTCCTCTGGGATTCCGCCCTCCAGACCCCCTAGCTCCCCAGCTCCTGCAGGACAGAGGCCACCTGCCCTCTGGCTTTCTAGGCATTCCCTCTTCTCAGCTCTGCCAGAGCTTGCCCTGCCCTGGCTCCACAACCACCACCACCCTCCCTCTCACAGACCCCAGTCCTCTTCCCAATTCTGCAAGCTCCGCATTCTCTAGTTCCTCTCAGGGTTTTCTATAACCCTGGTGATTGCCCTCCCAACCTCCCTCTCCTCTTACCCCTCCCAGCTCTAATTCTTATCCAAGTCCCCTTTCCTATCCCCTCCCTTTAGCTCTCCGTTGGCCCCCATTCTTCTCTCAGTCCCCACAAGTACCCCCTCCCTAATTCTCCTCCACGTCTCCCCCATCCCCCAGCTTCTCCCATCCCCCTACCTTTTTGACTCCTTGGCCTGTCCTCCAGCGCCTCTGCTGTCCCCTCTCACCGCCAAGCTTTGTCGCGCTAAGATCCACGCCCGCCTCCCACCCCATTTCCCCCTCTGCAGCTGCCCGGCGACCCTGCCTCGCCCCTCGCCCCGGGAGGGCACGCGCGCAGCCCACCCACCCCCGCTCACCTGTTGTGCCGACTGGAGCACGCCGGGCTTCGCCTTCTCCGGGTCGGGGTCCTGGTCCCGCGGCAGCAGCCCCTTCTTGGGGTGCATGTGCCGACACAGGCAGGTGACCCCACACAGCGCGAGGATGCTGGTGGCCGTGCCCAGCGTGGCGCCCAGCGCGATCACAGGCACCGACAGCACCATGGTGCCTGCTTCCAGCGCGGGGCTGGGTCCCGCCGCTGCGCACCTTCCCGGGGCCGGGCCCGCCTCCAGGCAGCTCCCGGGATCCGGGCGAGCCAGCAGCTCTCCCGCCGCCAGAGGGGCGGGGACGGAGGGAGGGAGGACGGCTGCGAGGACGTCAGAGGAGGCTGGACCCGGAGCCGCGTCAACTGGCACCCTCCTTCCCACCAACACGTGACCTGACCCCCACCCCACCGGGAGCGGGAGCCTTCCAGGTGGAAGGAGCCTTGGGTTGCTTCAGGCCAGTCTTAATGCTTTGTGTACAAAAGGAGACAATTCGGCCCAGGAAGTGCTGGAGCTTGCGGAGGTCACGCTGTGTTCGAGGACAAACCTGGGCACCGACCCGGTCTGTGACTCTAGGAGTCACTTTCCCAGACTACTAGCCCTTGCTCACTCTCCTTTTCCCCCAGCTGCTGGCCAAGGTGCCTGTCAAATGAGTCCTTTGAGAGCTTTTCAAACTCAAAACTGGAGATTTCCCAGCTCCCCAACCTGGGAGATGGTTCTTACAGCGAAGAGGCACAGGCCACGGGTAGAGGGAACCCACGGGGTGTTTGGGTTGAAGCTGCACCTGTGTCCTGCTGAAGATGAACAGCGCAGCTGCATCCCCTGCTGAAGGTGAGCAGCGCAGCTGCATCCCCTGAGGGTTACCCAAGAGTTCACCTTTGTTACCTAATTCAATCAGCAGGTATTCTTATCTTTATACATAGACGAGGAAGCTGAGGCTCAGAAGAGGGGTGCACAGGTAGAAAAATCATCACTCTGAACCCAAGCTTATGTTTTCAGATTCCAAGTCCACACTCAAAAGAATTTGTCTCAGGAGGATAAAGGAGATCAAATGCAGCAGCTAGGAGTACACATTTGTTGCAGAGAGGGTGAGCATGAAAGTATGCTTAGAGCAAGGGGAAATCGGCATTCCAGGAATGCGGAGGACTGTCTTCGCTCAAGAAAACGTGACTCTTTAGTATTTTTCATTATGTGGAATGTTGGATTTAATTCAGCAAACATTTGCTGTGGGTCACCTGTGCTCTAGGCATGCCGGACATGTGTGAAAAGGGGTGTAGGTGATTTCATCCACAATAGAGCTTTCACATTTCTATGAAGCCAAAGTCTCCTAAATCTACGGCCTCTCCAGCCAGACCTTTTCTTCTGAGCTACAACTCAGACCACCACCTGGGATCTGACCCATCCTCCAGTTTTTCAGCTATCTACACTTGCATTAAAAACCCACCCATGATTTACTGGTTTAGATCAGTTGTTTTGTTACTTGTCATGATTTTGTGGGTTGGCTGGGCTCAGTTGGGTGGTTTTCCTGCTCAACATGTTGTCTTCTGGGACTGCAGTCATCTGGGGGTTCAGCTGGCCTGGAACGTCCAGGATGGCGCACTGAGGCACTCACATGCTGAGTAGTAGGTGCTGGCTGCCACTGTGGTCACAATGGGGCTGTCAACTCGTGCATTTTGGTTCTCCTCTATGTCACCTCTCCATGATGCTGGAGTTGCTCACAGCATGGTGGCTAGGTTCTAAGAGGAAGGAAGCAGAAGCTGTCAGTTGTCTTAAGGCCTGGATTCAGAAGTTCTAGAACACTAATTATTTGGTCAAAACAATAGTCTTCCTCTAGTTCTTTCCTTCAGGGGCACCAAAAGGGAGTGTTGAAAATACAAAGCTGATCATGTCATCATTCACATGAGTAACAGCTCTCAAAGGATCTCCAAGGATAAACACAGAAGACTCAACCTTTATCCAGATCTCTTTGTGATATGGTCCCTGTGAAGCCCTCCAGACTCTTCTCTACATACTTCCCAATGTGCCCGTGAGCCTTGGCCACCCCATGGACTTGAGATTCCTTCAGCAAGCTAACATCTTCATAGCCTCCATGTCATCACCCATGAGTACATATAGCAGGCACTCAATAACTGTGGAATAATTCACATGATCCTCTCATGTAGAATTTCCAATGATTTGAAGGAATTCCATTTGTGATATGAGCTCCATTTTAGTAAGCTGACTTTTCCACAAGTGTGTATTGTGTGCCTGCTGTATGCAGGCCCATTTTCCTACTGAGCCCCATTTGTTGCAAACTGGAGCTGAATCACTGTGACAGGTTTAGCAGTCTCTCACGTAAGTGCTGCCCTGGGAGGTTTTCTTGGCTCTGGGGCCTGGCCATGCAAAATGTTTTGGGGAAATAGAGGTTTAATTAATGCTGGCAGCTCCAGGTCTCCCATGCTCAAACAGCTGCCCTGGGAGACCCTCAGTGCCACTACTCATAACAGGATTTGGGGTGGGGTTAAAGGGGAAGGATAAAGACCACTTAATATCAGAAGATGTCTGATGGGGATCAGACAGCTGTCACGTGGTCCATTGTTACTATGGTTACTGAGCTGACAGCAGCTGCAATGGCCTTCGTTTATAACAGGAAGACAGAGCCCAGCCCAAGAAGAAGAGCTTGGCTTTGCCTCTTTCACACACAATAAACCTATGGCAGAGCGAGGAATAGACCCCAGGGGATCTGAAGCCCAGTCGAGCTGTGAGGACTCTGAGCTACCTTTGCTACCCAACCAGCCACCCTCAGACATCTCATCAAAGATGCGACATTGGCTTCTTGGTTACTGAGATGCAGATAGTGGCCTTTAATGACAACCCACTGAAAAAAGGCATCACTAGGTTCCTTTGAAAAATGAGACTATGCCTATTGGGAAAGGCGGTTGACAGAGTCAGCTGAGCAGATCAGTTAAGACAGTTAGAGGCTGAGACCCGCAAATAATTGAAAGTGCTGAGGCCACATTTTTAAGGCAGACAGAGCAAGATGCTTAGGAAGCATCTACGAGGCTGAGGGATGGATCTTTGAAGGTTCCCCAGCCTCTTCATGAAATGTCTCCCTTGTTATTTTGATCAATATTGTGCATGTTAGATGTTTAAATATTCTGAGTAATCACTCTGAACTTCTAAGGCACTAAAATGCTTTCATCTGGAGAAAAGGATTTCAGAAATAGGAGGTTCTCTTATTTAGCAAACATCTGTGGTATCTGCACATGGTGCTATGCAGGGAAATATATCAGAAGAATAACTGAATTTTAACATTGCAAGGATTTCAGTTATCACCTGTGGAATCCTTTTATTTTATCAATAAGGAAACTGAGGTTCAGAGACATTGTGACCAGCCCAAAGGGTAGGAGTTAGTGACAACCGGGATGGTGTTTTAGATCAAGGTAAACCTGATTCTGCTGCAGTAACAAATTAACTCGAAACCTGAGAGATTAACTTAATAAAAATATAAGTCTCCCTCCCTTCTCAATTCAAGGAGAGTCAGATGACTCATTTGGGCAGCTCTTCTCCAATTGGTGACTCAGGAATCTGGTTTGCCTCTGTCTTATGATTCCTTCACTTCCAGCCATGCAGGGAAGAGAAAGATACTTGTGGCATTCTAGAGGACATGGCTGGAAATGAAGGACACAGAGCATCTCCATTCCACTGGCCAGAATTTGGTAACAAGACAAACATAACAGCAAGAGAGGCTAGAAAATGCAGAGGAGAATGTGGAGACACGGGAGCAGAAGTAGTCCTGCCACAGAAGCCAGAGCCTTGTCTAGTGCGTATTTTTCTAATTCATTCACTCACTCAGCAGATGTTGAGTTTCCATTATCAGGTATTGTGCCAGGTGATAGAGCAAAGAGAGTGAGTGAAGCCTAGCATGATCTCTCTTGCCATGGAGAGTTTACATTCCCATGGGGAAGACAGATGCTCATCAGTCCTCATACGTGTAAAATTACAAACGTCATACAGGCTAAGAAGAAAAGGTAAAGGGTAGAGACTTGACTTATTTAGATATATCACAGAAGTTTCCTGGAAGAAGTAAGAATTCAGCTGAGGTGTCAAAGAAGAGAGTTAGCTCAGCAAAGAAAGAGGAGAGAGTGTGCCAGCAGCCCTATGAGGGAACAGAGCACAGTGAGGATGGAGCAGCGGTGGACTGACCAACCAGCTCTCCAGAAAAAAAAAAAAAAAAAAGCATTTGTTGATTTTTCTAGTATAAAATATCCCCACTGTGATCAATTTCCAGCTACCAATAAATTCCTGAATATTTCCCATTGGCTCTTGTGAGCTTGGAGGAGCCAATTTCAGCACACAACTAGGAGAGTGTGAATGAGCCTAAAGAAAGAAGCAGGGGCCAGACAACAGGGCTTGGAGGCCATCATCAAGCCATTGCATGTTTTAGGCACAGGAGCATTATATAATCAGATTTGCATTTTTTAAAGATTCCTGACCAGGTACAGTGGCTCATGTCTATAATCCCAGCACTCTGGGGGGCTGAGGAGGGCAGATTTCTTGAGTCCAGGAGTTCAAGACTACCCTGGGTAACATGAGGCAACCATGTCTCAAAAAAAAAAATTGTTGAGAGGGATTGGGAAGGAACAAAGTGGTTACTGGATTAAAGAGGAAAAGAGGAAGCCATAGCAGGCACCCAGGGAGAGAGGCCATGCTTCCCTCCAGGAATGGGGAGTCCATGGCAGGCTGGAATTGTTGATGGCACAAGGAGAGAGCAGGTATGGTGTAGGAAAGTAGTCACTTTTCCTCTCTGGCCCCCAGCTCTGTGCTGCTAGTTCTCTCATTTGATGAATTTGCAGGTTCTCCAAGCTAGACCATGGCTGACTGGGTGTTCCCCAAGCCCACGTCCCTTGCCAAAGGTGAGATGTGCAGGAGAAAGTTGCCTGGGATAAAGAGTGGAGATTCTGGGCCCCACCACAGGGTCTTGCAGAGCCCAGGAGAGCTGAGATACTGACAGTGAGGAGAGTAAGTAGTGCAGCTCAGTCCAGGCCCAGGACTCCTGTTGCTGACTCTGAGCAATTCTGGGCTGCATCTTAAGGCACAAAGAAGAAAGGGGAGAAAGGGATTGGGTCTGGGGGGCCCTTATCCAGAAATTCAAGTCTTTGAATGGTAGGAAACTCTTCTGGTGTTGGAGCAAATTGCAGTGTTACTGTATTAACCATTAGGTCATCAGCTGCCCTGGCAGGGCCTTCCTTCAAATCCCGATTCCATCTCAGCACAAGATGAAGTCACACGTTCTAATGCTCATGAGCATGGCTCCTTGATGCCCTTCCATATTCTGAAGCTAATCTAAAGGCTCCAGTTGGTTCTAGGTTTCTGGAATGTACAACAATTACATGACTTCGTCTGGAGAATTTCACCTGCCATATTGGAAGGAAGGTTAGCATTTTTTTCAGAATTGAGATGCTTAATCTTGTGGGGGTCATGTGAATGTAATAAAAGCAATTTCCTTTTCCAGAAAAATGTCTGAATGTAACATATATATAATTCCATGTGAAACTCTAAATTGTTCAAGGATGATATGATGCCTTGAATCCCAGATTAAGAGTCTCTAGTGTGGTTGAAAGGAGAGTGGAAGAGTGCATTTGGCTGGGCACAGTGGCTCACGCCTGTAATCCCAGCACTTTGGGAGGCTGACTCAGGTGAATCACAAGGTCAGGAGTTCAAGACCAGCCTGGCCAACATAATGAAACGCTGTCTGTACTAAAAATACAAAAACATTAGTCAGGCCTGGTGGTGGGGGCCTGTAATCCCAGCTATTTGGGAGACTGAGGCAGAAGAATCGCTTAAACCTGAGAGGCAGAGATTGCAGTGGGCTGAGATCGTGCCACAGCACTCCAGCCTGGGTGACTCAACAACAACAACAAAGAAAAAAAAAGGAGAGTGGACTTGAAATAAGAAGAAATGAGTTCAAATCCTTTGTCTGTGTATGCACTAAGCTGTGTGATCCGTTGGCAAGTAACCTTGATATTCTGGAGCCTTCATTTTCTTATTGGCAAAATCACCTCTACTTTATAGGAATGTTGTGAGGATGACCTAAAGCATAGTGCTGCTGTGTGAATAACAGAGAATTCTCAAATAATTTTAATTTTAAAATTCAAATGATCTTATTTGTTTCTGACCCTCTAATTTCTTAATAACGCAGCTTGGCTTAGTGGAAATAGTAGGTATTGAAGTCCCACAGGTATGTGTTATTCTAGCTCTGTTGCTTATTAGCTGGGAGTCCCTAGATGGATGAATTAGCTTAAACTGCTCCAACTTTCATTTCTGTATTTCCAGAAAGTGAGTGACACATGATTTGGAAATGTGGTTGCGATTATTCCCTTTCCTGTGTCCATAGCCTTTTGCAATGTGACTTTGCAAAGAGGGTGAGTCTATTGATCTACTTCTTAATCTGAGCTGGACTTGTGATTTGTTTTGGCTAATTGACTGTAGCAGAAGTTATATTGTGCCAAATTCTAAGCCTAGGTCTTGAGAGATCCTGGAAGTTTCCATTCTGCAACATAGAATCCTGCCCAGCCACCATGTGAAGAAGCCCAATCTATCTTGCAGGAGGACAAGAGATTAAGTGAGCTAGTTATTCCCATGACTCCAACGCACAGCAAGCCAATTCACAGAAGCCGAGCTCATGACTGAACCCATATAAAACTAGAAAAAACCACCCCGCTGAGCCCAACCAAAGAGCCAACCCATAGAATAATGAGCTAAATTAAAATTGCAAGTTATTTTAAGCCACTAAATTTTAGAGTGCTATGTGTCAAGAACTGATACAAACAGGGAGATGACAGTCTCCTTGACAGGACCACTGTGAAAATATGCAATGCTGATTCTTGTAAGGTACCTAGCATAGGGACTGGCACATGGAAGCTGCACAACAAATGGCTTGGATGATCATTCCTGGTTCTCAAAGGCAGTGTTACCAAGCACTTCCAGCAATGCCTGATAGATATACCAGCTCATTAACAATTGTACAAGAATCAATTCTATAGCCTCCAGCTCTTAAGAAAGGTACAGTATTAATTCTCTGAACCAACCTCCTTTCCAGATTGGCCCAAGCTATCCACTCCTTCTGGAGAACCTGCTGCCTGATGCCCACAGCCTGTCCTCTCAATGCTCTTTTCCCTCCTCGAACAGAGTTGTATACTCACTTAGAGTTAGTTGTGTTTGTCTCAGAATCTTTTTTTTTTTTGAGTCGGAGTTTCGCTCTTGTTACCCAGGCTGGAGTGCAATGGTGCAATCTTGGCTCACCACAACCTCCACCTCCTGGGTTCAGGCAATTCTCCTGCCTCAGCCTCCTGAGTGGCTGGGATTATAGGCACGTGCCACCGTGCCCAGCTAATTTTTTGTATTTTTAGTAGAGACGGGGTTTCACCATGTTGACCAGGATGGTCTGGATCTCTTGACCTCGTGATCCACCCACCTCGGCCTCCCAAAGTGCTGGGATTACAGGCGTGAGCCACCGCACCCAGCCCTCAGAATCTTTTTATGCCAGTTGATCTCATTATTGATTTATATACTTTAATTAACTGATATGTCGACTAATGACATAGAAGCATCAAGGAAAGTCAGTTCTGTGAGAACCAAGGTGGGTGCTTTGCAAAGACCCATTAGGGTAAGTTGCTTTTAGAACTGCTGTTAAAATAGGTATGAGCAAGTTATCTGTAAAAGGTTGGGAAAACTCACAAAATTCTAGAAGGATTCTGCCATCAGATTGCCAGGAAAGTGTCTCCAAGTTCTTCCTCCACTGCAGATAATGCAGGACTGGAAATTGCAAATGAGGCATCGTGAGTATGCGCACGAAACAGTGCTGACATTTATTAAGTGCTTCCTACACATCAGGCTCTGAGCATTTTGTCTGTACTAATGTATTTCAAAATTTAAAAAATTTTGACACAGAGTCTAATCATCATAATGTGGGAAAACTAGTGCAAACTATAATTTAGATTAAAATACAACATTTAAAGTGTGTGTCATTTTGAACTTATAGAAGTATAACTTACATATGAAAAGTACAAAGGTCATAAGCATAGCGTGGTGGATTTTTACAATGTGAACTCACCTTTTTATCCATGCCAAAATCAAAAATATAATACTCACATTCCTCAAATTCTGCATATTTTGTTTCTAGGATTCCCCCAATTTAATCGCATTCTAAGATGGACCAAGCAGAATACTCCTCTATGGAAGGGAAGAGGAACCACCGGCACTGACCCACGAATTGGAAGATGCTGCCACCTAGAGGATGTGAGGGAAAATGAATCCTCCCCTAGAGTTTCACTTTTTTTGTTGTTTTTGTTGTTGTTGTTGTTGTTGTTGTTGTGAGATGGAATCTCGCTGTATTGCCCAGGCTGGAGTGAGTGCAGTGGCATGATCTCGGCTCACTGCAACCTCTGCCTCCCTGGTTCAAGCAAACCTGCCTCAGCCTCTCAAGTAGCTGGGATAAAAGAGGCCCGCCACCCCTCCCCCTGCTAATTTTGCATTTTTAGTAGGCAGGGTTTCAACATATTGGCCAGGTTGATCTTGAACTTCTGACCTCAAGTGATTCACAAGCCTTGGCCTCCCAAATTGCTGGGGTTACAGGTGTGAGCCACCATGCCCGGCTGACTCCCAGACCTTTACCTCTCCCTATGAGGCCTTCTCTGCCCTTTATCTAAAATAACCAGCTCTCCACCCATTGTCCCATCACTTCCTGTTCCCTGTCACCTTACTTTTTCAAACCCTGGCACTTGTCATTATTTAATATTCCATCTAATTCCCCTTACCTGTGTAATTTCTCTTGCTGATGGTCTGAGTTCTTCTTCTGGAATAGAGGCCCTAGGAAGGTAGATGTAGGGCCTGAGTTGTCCGGCAACGTATCTCTAGCCCTAGAGCAGTACCTGACACATCACAACACTTCAATACATATGTCAAGTGGACAGACAGGAGCCCTATCCCCGACCCATAGCCCTGCCCTGTGGGCCTTAACCCAAGCCCTGAGGTTTCATGGCACCTTCACGCACCTTTGCAAGCTCACTCCACCTCTTCCCTTCTCCCCATACCTTGTAGGGAGGGCCAAAGGGAGAGTCCAGAACCCCCAGGCACTGTGTAAACTGTTCCAGGGCTGAAATGGGAAGAGCCGTGGCCAGAGCTCCTGGCCTGTGTCATAGCCTGTGCTAGTGGCAGGCAGCCTGGAAGGTCTCACTGTGTCATGATTAAGCCAGACCAGTCTACCCAGCAGTGAATTCGAGTTCCACGAGGTAACCAGCTGGGTGGCCTCTCACAACGCACTTTATCTTGGTGAGGCTCAGTTTTGCCATCCATTAAATGGAGAGAATGAAGTGTGACAGTGGGCATGATGTGCTTCACCCAGTGCCTGGTATGTGGTTGGCACTGGACTAGTGGAAATGATTACCACTATTTTGAAGGGTTAGAACTGAAAGGAAACCTCAAGGTCCTATGATCCAGGAGAAGCACTTTTCATTATTATCTGAAAATTCTGCCATCGTTTTATGTGGGAATTCAGAATAAAAGACAAGCTGCTGTGGGGGAAAGAAGGTAGGGAGAAGAATCCCCTGGGATCACTGCATCCCAAGCCCTCCTCCCCACTGTCCACACCATCCACCCCGAGGGATAGTCAGAGCCACCTCCAAAGCGCTTTGAGACCAACAGTGGTGATCCACAGCCTCGTTTTACAGATGGGAACACCAAGGTCAAGAGAGGAGAGTGCTGGGCTGGCTCCCAGACCTCCTGACTCTCTGTCTAGGGTTCGCTTCAGGCCCTCTGCTACTTCCCAAGCCATTCATGGGCTTATTTCTTAGCTGGTTAGTGAAGGGCTCAAGGGAAAAGTGAGCTCCTTTCACCTCACTCAAATCAGGGTGGACTTGCAGATGAAGCAGGTGGAATTTAGGAGACTTTTGAAAGAGACTTAATAGCATATTGGAGAAGAAATCTCAGAGTCAAAATCAAATTGGTGAATTGGAGGAAATCTACAGGCAAAGCCAGGGCCAATGTGATGTCATGGAACAAAGATGCCAGAGGGAGTTGGGAAATTATTGTGAAAACAGAATGAAATACGCAGTGAAAAGTACTTTGAAAAGTGCTTAAGTGCTAGATAAATGACAAGATGTTTATTGTCATTCATATCATCATTACACTTTATGTTAATCAACAGGACTGGAAGTCGTTCTAATTAGGAGATTCAATACCATGAATACAAATTACCCGATATGTGCAAAATGCTGATTTCTGGGACCCACCTCAAGAGGCTGATTTAGGGATCACCCATGAGCCTAGTGTTGAAGGTTAATAAAATCTGAACCTTCATCCTTTGCTCCAGTTCCGTCACAAAACTGAGTTATTTACTTATTGCTTATGACACTAACCACATTTCAGATCTTGGCCCCAAACTTTCAAGTGCTCATAATTAGCATAAGTGTCTCGGGAATGAACAAAGGCAGAATTCCCTCTCTTTGACAGCTGCAGTGAGAGTACGGTCTTTTCAATTTTATTGTTGCAAACAGTCTGATTAGATGCAGTATAAAACTGAGATCATTTGTGAGAACATCCGTCTTAGTTTCTATGCAAGACAGAGACGTGTGGGGTGTGGCTGACTGTTTTCAGGGACAACCATTAATTCCTTCACTCCCCTTACATTGAGAGGTGGAGTCCAATTTCCCTCACCTTCAACGTGAGCTGGCCTTGGTGATTTGCTTGGCCAACAGGGTGTGGTAGAAGTGACCTTCTGAATCTTTCTAAACTAGTTCATAGAAAGCCTCTTGGCTTCTGCCTGCCTGGCCCCTTTGGCACCTTCACTCTGGGTATTCACTCTTAGAACTCATTTGTTTCTTTCTTTTTATCTCGGCTCACTACAACCTCCACCGCCCGGGTTCAAGCAATTTTCCTGCCTCAGTCTCCCGAGGAGCTGGGATTACCAGCACATGCTACCGCACCCGGCGAATTTTTTGGTAATTTTTAGTAGAGACGGGGTTTCACAATCTTGGCCAAGCTGGTCTTAAACCGCTGACCTCGTGATTTAACCACCTAGGCCTCCCAACGTGCTGGGATTAGAGGTGTGAGCCACTGTGCCAGGCCTCAGCTTCTTTCTTTAAATATTTATTTTTACTTTTTGTGGGTACACATTAGGTGTATATATTTATGGGGTAAATAAGATGTTTTGATACAATACAAGCATGCAATGTGAAATGAAACACATCACGGAGAATGGGGTATGCATTCCCTCAAGCGTTTGTCCTTTGCGTTACAAGCAAACCAATCATGCTCTGTATGTTCGGTAGAAAGTCCCGCCATCTTTCCCCCAGGTTTCTTGCCCACCCCCCAGGCTTCCTGCTGCCCTGAGAAAAGCCCGCCAAGCCTGCTCTGTTCTGCCCAGCAACAACAAGCAGCCAATCATCGCAGCAGGAAAGCCCACCAAGCCTCAGCCTATCCTGAACTGACACGTAACCCTCTGAGCCACCTCAGCAGTCTGCCCAGAGACGGGCAGCCTATCCTAAGCTCCTACGACACTCCGCCAGCCCTGTGTCCACGCCCCGTCCACCCCCCTATAAAACCCTCCTACCCCAGCTGCGCAGTCGCAGCCAGCCCCGATCTCCTTCCTTTCCTGGCCTGCCCGCTGGTCCCAATAAACCTGAACTCGGCTTCCAACTCTCGAGCTGTTATTTGGGGTCGGGTACCGGGCAGGGGTCTACAAGGGGGTCGCACATATGGTGCCGAAACCCGGGACGGAGGGTCGCTAGCCCCCCCTAGCGACCCCCTCCCTCCAGCGACCTCCCCAGCCCTCCTCCAATTCGGCCTCAGCACTCCGGACCAGGTAAGTCCTGTTTCTTACCTTCTCCTTCCGTGGTGCGTATGGCAAAGGCCCTTCCTCTCAGTCCCAATCCACGGATCCCTCGCCAAGCGCCGGCCGGCCCGAGCAGGATCCCCCAACCAGGCTCCAGGAGCCTTGGGTCAGCAGACAAGGGATGCCTTCTCTGACCCACCCAATCCAAAACCATTAAATAGGAACGATCAGACAGGGGATGCCTTCTCTGGTCTTTCCTATCCACCTTCCTCTGGGGAAGCTGGTGGGTTGGAGGGACGCCTCCCCCCACACTACCCCAGCCCACTCGGATACTGTTCCGAGACCGCCCTCGCCTGGCAGGAACTCTTTGCCGCAGGCATCATGGGGAACGTGGAGTCCAAAATTCCAAAAAACACCCCACTAGGTTGTTTACTTCTCGACTTTACCCGCTTGGGCTACTCCCAAAACCCTTAGGCGGAAAAAGCTTATCTTCCTCTCCCAGGTGGCCTGGCCCCAGTATCAGCTCGATAACAGGTCGCATTGGCCTCCCACCGGCACTTTCGATTTCAATGTGCTCCGCGACCTAGATAACTTCTGCCGCCGAACTGGCAAAGTTAAGGAAGTGCCTTATGTTCAGGCTTTTTGGGACCTGCGTTCCCATCCTGACCTCTGCTCTTCTTGCTCTACTCACCAAGTTCTTTTAGCCCGAACTCCCCCACCGCAGACTCCTACCTCCCCAACCAAGCCACCTCCCTATACTCTACAGGAAGAGATGCCTGACCACATGTCTTCCCCCTTTGTTCCCACTCCGGAAGTCCACTACCTCTCCCCCTCCCTACTCCTCACCAGAGGATCTGCCTGAACATCTATCCTCTCCTGCCAATCTCAGCAATCAGTCACCATCAACGGCACGCTCTTCCTCTGCTCCCTCTGCACCTCCTACCTCAGAGGCCATGCCTTGCTCTCCCTCTACTCCCTCCAAGCCCCCTCCCTCAGAGGCCGCACTTCCTCTTGCCTCTCCGGTGGCGGCCGACACCCGCTCCCACCAGCCAGCTATCCTGGCCCCACTCCGAGAAGTAGCAGGCGCAGAAGGTTTAATCAGGGTCCACGTTCCTTTCTCACTCCAAGACCTGTCCCAAATTGAGAAACGTTTAGGATCCTTCTCAGCCGACCCATCCACCTATATTAAGGAATTCCAATACCTCACTTAAGCATAAGAAGCCCTAGTCCGGTACACTCGACTAGATCCAGCCCCCCCCCCCCAAAACGGGGCCACTATATTAGCCTCCCATTTTATCTCCCAATCAGCACCCGACATGAGAAAGAAACTAAAGAAAGCAGAAGAGGGGCCAGAGACTCCCATCCAAGACCTGGTAAAAATGGTCTTTAAAGTATTCAATGCCAGGGAAGATGCGGCTGAGGCTGCCCGCCAAACTCGCATGAAGCAGAAGGCTGCCCTCCAGACCCAAGCCCTAGTGGCGGTTCTAAGGCCGGCAGGGAACCAGAAGCCCAAGGCCGAAACCCATGCCCCTCCGGGAGCATGTTTCAAATGTGGAAAGGAAGGACACTGGTCCCGAGCCTGTCCACAACCACGGCCACCAACTAAGCCTTGCCCTATCTGTCAGTTCCCGGGACACTGGAAGTCAGACTGCCCCAGCTTCCCCAGGGTGCCGGTTCCTCAAAACAGACACACTGGCGTTACGCAGCCGGCAGTCACCCTCAGTAGGGAGGAGCCTGCTTGCCAGGAGCCGACCTCCGAGGGAGCTCCGTTCCCCAGTCTACTAGGGCTGCTAGATGACTAGCGGGGCCCTGGCTTTCCAACTCCTGTTACCCTTGCCGAGCCTAGGGTCACAAGACATGGGGGCTACCTACTCCGCTCTTCCTTCTTATTCTGGCCGTCTCACCCCTTCCCAGGTCTCGGTCATGGGAATCGACGGGACCCCGAGTATCCCCTACCAAACCCCACCACTCATGTGCCCATATAACTCCACTCCATTCACCCACTCTTTTTAGTAATCCCCAACTGCCCAGTTCCCCTTCTGGGGCGAGATATCCTTTCAAAGCTGAAGGCCGTCATAACCTTCCCCACCGCCAGCCCACACAGCCTCTTTCTCCTAGCCCTCAATACTCTGCCTCAGAACTCCAGACCCTCCAGTCTACCCCCGGGGTACGGTTCAAGGATGACTTGGCCTTCAAGCATAACCTCCTCATCCTCCCTGAAAAGCAAAGGTACCAGATAATCCAAGACATCCACAATTCACTCCACATTGGGCCTAAAGGCTTATACCGATTCCTCAACCCACTTTTCACCCTCACTATCTTCTCAGTACCATACAGGAAGTCCAGTCCTCCTGTACTGTCTGCGCAAAAACTAATTCCCAGGGTTCCTGTCATCCTCGGCGCCAGCTTTATCAGCTACGCGGGTTCCTACCTGGCCAAGACTGGCTAATTGATTTCACCCATATGCCAAAGCATAAACAGTACCGGTATCTGCTAACCATTGTTGACACTTTTTCAGGCTGGATTGAAGCTTACCCCACAGCCTCTGAGTCTGCCGGGACAGTAGCCACTCATCTCATTCAAGACATCATCCCACGCTTTGGACTCCCGGCTACCATACAGTCAGACAACGGCCCAGCCTTTATCTCCAAAGTCACTAATGCCGTTTCTACCTCTTTAGGAATTCAGTGGAAGCTACACGCCGCCTACCATCCTCAGTCCTCTGGTAAGGTGGAACGGGCCAATGGCCTAATAAAGGAGCATCTGACCAAGCTCATGCTTGAGCTCCGCCAATCCTGGGTAACCTTGCTTCCTATCGCCCTCACCAGGTTGAGAGCAAGCCCCCGGGGGCCATCACAGCTTAGCCCGTTTGAGCTGCCGTACGGTCGCCCCTTCCTACTTTCAACTCCCCCACCACCAGAGACCACTCCTCTAGACAGCTACCTCCCCTACTTTACTCTCCTTCGCAGCCTTCTCCGAGAACACGCCAACGCTTCTCTTCCCCAACCCACCCAGCCATCTGAAAATACACAGAAAGTCTCCCCCGGGGACTCAGTTCTTATCAGGTCCCTCTCCCCAAAGCCCCTCGCCCCCAAGTGGGAAGGACCATACACAGTCCTCCTTACCACTCTATCAGCTATAAGAGTTGCTGAAATCCCATCTTGGGTCCACCTGTCTCAGGTAAAAAAGGCCCCTCATGGACCCTCCTTATGCTGGAAGGCTGTTCCTACTGGCCCTTTATCTGTCAAACTTACCAGGGCCTAGCAGCCACACCCCCTACAGATGGAGATTCTTCCTAACTGAAAACTATACCAAAACCACCTTCATCTGTAATACCCCTCCATACAGCCACAACCATCTTCTTGCAACTTCCGACTGCCCCGCAGCCGGATGCCAAAGGGCCATATATCTGAACTTCACCAAATTCCATAACATCCATACTGATATACCTCTCATGTGCTTCAACCATGACCAACCATCAGGAGCATGCAATAATACTCCTTGGCGCTCCTGCATGGGATGTACTTGGATGAACTGTCGACTACATATAGCCGTCAAGTCCACAGTACCTGCCCGATCTCAGCTCAAAATCATCCCAGACATAGATGGAGAAGGAAACACCATTATCGGTTCTACACGGTATTCCATTCTCATACCTGATCCCTGGGACAACCGGTGGAAAAGCCCCCAGAAAGCTGCCGTGTATGACCACATAGATACCAAATATCCCTCTTCCCACCTGTACATCTGGCGAGCATACGTACGTACAGTCCACCAAGTCCACTCTGATATTAGCCTACAAGAAAAATCTCTGAATGACCAATTGCAACCACATTCGTCTCCGTTTTCCTGGTTAACATTTCTCCAAGAAGGAATCAAGTTAGCTAACCTCTCAGGACTAACTGACCTAACTTCATGCCTCATGTGTGCCTTCTTAGGACAGACTCCCTTCGTTGCAGTCCCTTACCCCATCCCTCTCAACCTTTTAGCCTCAACTTCTTCCTTCTCCCCCGTCAGGGAAGTCGATCTCTACACTCCACCTGATTTTGAACAGCTACCTGTGTGCTATTCCCTAGGCCAAAACTTCCCTAGCTGTAACAGAACTATACTGGTAACCACTAATATAACAGCCCCACGAGGAACGTTTTTTTGGTGTAACAGGACCTTAACAAAAACTCTCTACATTGGCCTTTCCTCATCTCTTTTATGCCTCCCAGTAACCCTAGTCCCTCGACTCACTATATATTCTTCAGCCGAATTCCAGATGCTGCAAGCTCCCCATCGCCGCACCCGACAAGCTGCCTTCCTACCCATTGCCGTTGGAGTCTCCCTTGCTGGTTCAGCACTTGCAGCAGGATTAGGGGGAGGGGCACTAGTCCACTCTCACCTGGCCATAGCCCGACTGACCTCACAACTCCAAGCCGCTATTGATGACTCTACTGAGTCTTTAGCATCACTCCAACTACAGATCACCTCAGTTGCCCAAGTTGCCTTGCAGAACCGAAGAGCCCTAGACCTGCTCACTGCTGAACGAGGAGGGACCTGTGTCTTCCTACAAGAAGAGTGCTGTTACTACATCAATGAATCCGGCCTAGTAGAAACCCGAATCGAGAGCCTCCAGAAACTCAAAACTAACCTGCAGAGTCAGAAGTTCTCGGCTGAAGCCACAGCGTGTTCATACAGCGGCTCTTTCAAGAACTGACTCGAGTCACCATCCACCAGATGCTGCTCCAACCCCACCCTGAACGAGTGCAAGAAACAGACCTCTCCCTGAACATCCAGGCTCCTTAAGAAAAGAGACCTCTTCAGAACCCCCCGTGGACCGTTGTCAGCAGGAAGTAGCCAGATCGATTCCGCCGCCCTTTTTCCTTTTTAAGGAGTCGGGAATGTTCGGTAGAAAGTCCTGCCATCTTTCCCCCAGGTTTCTTGCCCCCTCCCCCCAGGCTTCCTGCTGCCCTGAGAAAAGCCCGCCAAGCCTGCTCTGTTCTGCCCAGCAACAACAAGCAGCCAATCATCGCAGCAGGAAAGCCCGCCAAGCCTCGGCCTATCCTGAACCGACACGTAACCCTCTGAGCCACCTCAGCAGTCTGCCCAGAGACGGACAGCCTATCCTAAGCTCCTACGACACTCCGCCAGCCCTGTGTCCACGCCCCGTCCACCCCCCTATAAAACCCTCCTACCCCAGCTGCGCAGTCGCAGCCAGCCCCCGATCTCCTTCCTTTCCTGGCCTGCCCGCTGGTCCCAATAAACCTGAATTCGGCTTCCAACTCTCGAGCTGTTATTTGGGGTCGGGTACCGGGCAGGGGTCTACAAGGGGGTCGCACACTGTAAATTATTTAAGATATAGAATTATGATTCACTATAGTCACCCTATTGTGCTATCAAACAGTAGGTCTTATTCATTCTTCCTACTTTTTATGTACCATTGACCATCCCCATCTCCTCCTCAGAACCCCACTACCCTTCCCAGCCTCTGGTAACCCTCCTTCTATTTTCTATCTCCATGAGTTCAATTGTTTCGATTTTTAGATTCCACAAATAAGTGAAAACATGCCGTGTTTGTCTTTCTGTGCCTGGCTTAATTCACTTAACCATAATGATCTCCAGTTTCAACCATGTTGTCAATGACAGGATCTCATTCTTTTTTATGGCTGAATAGTACTCCAGTGTGTATAGGTACCATATTTTCTTTACCCATTCATCTGAGGGATCCTTAGGTTGCTTCCCAATCTTAGTACTATAAAGAGTGCTGCAACAAACACAGGAACGCAGATATCTCTGTCATATACTCATTCCCTTTCCTTTGGGTATATACCCAGCAGTAGCATTGCTGGATCATATGGCAGCTCAATTTTTAGTTTTTGAGTAACCTCCAAACTGTTCCCCATAGTTGTACGAATTTACATTCCCACCAACAATGTACAAGGGTTCCCTTTTCTCCACATCCTTGCCAGCATTTGTTATTGCCTGTCTTTTGGATATAAGCCATTATAACCGAGGTGAGATAATATCCCATTACAGTTTTGATTTGCATTTCTCTGATGATCCGTGATGTTGAGTGCCTTTTCATATGCCTGCATGCCATTCATATGCCTTCTTTTGAAAAAATGTCTAAAATGTCTATTCAAATCTTTTACCCATTACTTGATCAGATTATTCCTCCCCCACCTGCTACAGAGTTGTTTGAACTCTGTATATATTCTGGTTATTAACCCCTTGTCAGATGGGTAGTTGTTGTGAACTGAACGTGAGCCCGGGAATCTCATCCAGCGAGAGGGTCCCAAACCTGGAAGAGAGCGCGCCCCGGAAAAAAGGAGATAGAAAAGGCGAGGTCTGGAGGGCTACATGCGCTATACTCATGCAGCAATTTTATTTTTGCAATGTGTTTCATTATATACTTTTCTGAAGTTAAAGTTGTTTACGCCAGATTAACCTACTTAAATTACAGCAAACAAGTTACGCCCAGTAAGTAACTTAAGCCCAGTAAATAGGTTACACCCAGTAAGTAGGTTACTTCCAGTAAGTAGGTTACGCCCAATAGGTCAAGGTAAGTAAGTTACAGTTACGCCCTGTAAGCTATGGTAAGTAAGTTACAGTTACGCCCTGTAAGTTACGGTAAGTAAGTTACCAAGTGTAAATACTTAATATTTTACAATGAAGGTAACAAGGGTCCAAAATGAACACAATCAAGCAATAAACCATAAGGAGCCAAAAGTGGACACATTGCCTCCCAAGTCCTCATATCCATAAAGTAATGTCTGTTAATTATTTAGGATAACGTAGTTCCTCTCTCGGTTCCTGCTTTCCCTCAGCTCAACTCCCCCAACCAGGGATCTGTGTCCGGGCTCAAGCACACCGTATGGTGAGGCCCATTTCCTAGGGGCCTCACACGGGAGCAATCCCCACAGGTCTCCCTTAGGTAGTTTGCAAATATCTCCTCCCATTCTGTGGGTTGTCTCTTCACTTTGTTGATTGTAGGAACTCAGCTTTTGCATTCTGAGAAGGCCAAGTATGTGGTGGGGTCATGTATAGAAGCTTCAGTTGACAGCCTCAGCTGAACTTCAGGCCAACAGCCCACACTAACTGACTTATCAATCAGCCATCTGGTACATACAGCCCACTCTAGCCTTCCGATGACACCAACCCCAGCCACTATCTGAATTCAACTGTCTGAGAGACTCCAAATGAAAATTGCCAAAATCATGAGATAATTATACATTATTGTTGTAAACCACTAAGTTTTGAGACAATGAATAGAGCGGTTACCAAAATGTGTCAATATTTATGTACCTCTTCCCAGTATATTCTGTCTCCTGTTGATATAAATCTATCTGCAGAAAAATAATTTGAATAAAAGGGTCTTGTAAAATTTCTAAGACTTTAGAGATTATTGCTATGTCCAGTGAAAATAAACGTCAAAGAGAAACCTGCAATTCTGACCAGCCATTTCTCTGGCAATAATGCTATAAAGGATATTTTGGTATTCTTAAAAAGCATAAATATTGGCCAGGCATAGTGGTTCACATCTGTAATCCCAGCACTTTGGGAGGCCGAGACAGGTGGATCACCTGAGGTCAGGAGTTTGAGACCAGCCTGACCAACATGGTGAAACCCTGTTTCTGCTAAAAACACAAAAATTAGCAGGGCATGGTGGTGAGAGCCTGTATTCCCAGCTACTCAGGAAGCTGAGGTAGGAGAATTGCTTGAACCTGGGAGGCAGAGGTTGCATTGAGCTGAGATCGCACCATTGCATTCCAGCCCCAGTGACAAGAGACAAACTCCATCTCAAAAAAAAAAAGAAAAAAGAAAAAAGCATGAATGTTGTAAGACACTCTGTCAAATCAGGGCAGGATTACTGGACTTTCTTCTTCTTCCACACACATGACTGGGGAGAAGCCTTTGGCTCTGTTAGACTACTTATTTTAACAAATAAATAAAGAGGGTTTTTTTTTTTTTTTTTTTTTTTGTTTAAATTAAGATGGGAAATAGATGTTTTTCAGCAAACTCCCCACATGCTGCTGGTGTGGATGAGCCATGGACCACAGTTTGAGAAGCATCAGTAATTTGGCTGTGCCTCAGGAGGAGGGCAGGGCCTTGAGTTATTATTATTATTATTATTATTATTATTATTTTGTTATCTCCCCAGCCCCAGAACCAACTTTCTAGTGACACCTACCTGCCCTGCAGAAACTCCTCCTACTGAGCTCTGAGGCTCTGTGGCATGCAGGTGAGCCTGAACCCGCCCTGGCTCTGCAGACCAGCCTTTCATGGGACCTCAGTGAAGTTAATTCCCCTCTAGGGGCCCCTAATTGCCTTAATTAACCCTACAGGGCTTTGATAAGGATTAAGCGAGTTAACACAAAGTACTTAGAACAGCAGCCATTGCATGTGAAAGGGCCTATGAATACTGTTGTTATTGTTAATCAGTTTTTCTGCCTTTCCCACCACACCTAGTAAGGGCCTGAGGGCATGAAGTGACAGTGGTGAACTTGCCCTTTCTTGCAAGTCTCAATAGTTTTACCATTAAAAAAAAAATGCAGGCAACACAACATACATACAACTATACAATCTTTGATAAACCTGACAAAAACAAGCAATGGGGCAAGGATTCCATGTTTAACAAATGGTGTTGGGAAAACTGGCTAGCCATGTGCAGAAAGCAGAAACTGGACCCCTTCCTGACACCTTACACTAAAATTAACTCCAGATGGATTAAAGACTTAAACATAAGACCTGGCACCATAAAAACCCTAGAAGGAAATCTAGGCAAAACTATCCAGGACATAGGAGTAGGCAAGGACTTCATGAACAAAACACCAAAAGCATTGGCAACAAAAGCCAAAATAGACAAATGGGACCTAATGAAACTCCACAGCTTCTGCACGGCAAAAGAAACAGTCACTAGAGTGGATCGGCAACCAACATAATGGGAAAAAATTTTCGCAGTCTACCCATCTGACAAAGGGCTGATATCCAGAATTTACAAAGAACTCAAGCAGATTTACAGGAAAAAAACAAACAAGCCCATTCAAAAGTGGGCAAAGGATATGAACAGACACTTTACGAAAGAAGACATATATGAGGCCAACAATCATATGAAAAAATGCTCATCGTCACTGGTCATCAGAGAGATGCAAATCAAAACCACATTGAGATACCATCTCACGCCAGTTAGAATGGCGATCATTAAAAAATCTGGAGACAACAGATGCTGGAGAGGATGTGGAGAAAAAGGAACACTTTTACACTGTTGGTGGGAGTGTAAATTAGTTCAACCATTGTGGAAGACAGTGTGGCGATTCCTCAAGGCCTTAGAAATAGAAATTCCATTTGACCCAGCAATCCCATTACTGGGTATATATCCAAAAGACTATAAATCGTTCTACTATAAGGACACATGTACACGAATGTTCATTGCAGCACTGTTTACAATAGCAAAGACCTGGAATCAACCCAAATGCCCATTGATAATAGACTGGATTGGAAAAATGTGGCACATATACACCATGGAATATTATGCAGCAATCAGAAATGATGAGTTCGTGTCGTTTGTAGGGACATGGATGAATCTGGAGAACATCATCCTCAGCAAACTGACACAAGAACAGAAAATGAAACACCGCATATTCTCACTCATAGGTGGGTGATGAAAAATGAGAACACATGGACACAGAAAGGGGAGTACTAAACACTGGGGTCTATTGGGGGGAAAAGGGGAGGGCCAGTGGGATGGGGAGGTGGGGAGGGATAGCCTGGGGAGAAATGCCAAATGTGGGTGAAGGGGAGAAGAAAAGCAAAGCACACTGCCATGTGTGTACCTACGCAACTGTCTCGCATGCTCTGCTCATGTACCCCAAAACCTATAATCAAATAAAAAATTAAAAAAAAATGCATCTGATTTTGTATTCTCCTCCACCATAGATTTTTATCAGCCCCGAAATAAAGTGTTTTAAGTCACTCAAGGAGGAAAAACAAGAATTGGCCCTAGGTTTGTTTCTAAGCCTCCTGTTGCAGGCTCAGCACCCCTGTTTGAGATGCTCAGCTGTAAGTTGCATCTCTCTCTAGACAGTTCCCTGTGCTTCCCGATCAAGCATCTCATTGCAGCTTCTTGATTGGCATTCTGGAAGCACAGGTGAGGCAAACACACCTACAGAGTTATAGAGCGCATTGTGGCTAATAGTGCTGAGTCTGGCTTCAGACTGCCTGGGTTTCAATGCCAGGCACTCCACTTAATAGCAGTGGCAAGTTGCTAAATTTCTTTTAAGTCTCAGTTTCCTCATCTGTACTATGGGAGAGGGGCAGAAGGGAATAGCTGTGTTG